ATTATTATTTTTTTTTATCAGTAATGCGACGCTTTACTTTTTTAGCAAGGGAGAGAAGCAGTGTACATGGAACAAAAAGGGCTTAAAAGCACCAACTATGGAGCTAGATATTAAAAATTACAACTCTAAGCACTTATGGTGTGAACCGCTCTGTTGTTTGATTGCACTGCTCACTTAAACTGTAGAAATGGTGAGCGCATTGTCTCTCAGTCCGGAAGGAACCAAGCTAACTGATGACCCCTGAACTAGATTTATGCTAAAATCTCTGAAATTAGTTTTTCAGTAAATATAAAATGATGCATACATATGAATTTCCTTACTTATATGAGGGTGTCATGTGCTTCTTTGTGTGTCAATTGTTTTAATGGAGAAAAATAACTGACTAAAAAACAACTCCTTAATTCTTGCGGAAATGCAAATAGTACATGAATTTGGAATATAATAATTAGGCAATCATTTCTTGCTCTCTATAGTCTAAGCATCTGTGACACTCACCAATATGAAATCAGTCTGGTATGTTGACAGCATGAACACAGAGATATTATGGTCTGCCAATGGGGCGATGACTGATTTTGCGATTTTTGTTACTCCGATTGGTTGAGAGCTGGTAGCGCTTCCGCCCCCGGACACCACATTAAGAGCCAACCATGTTGCATCGGCCACACTGAGATACTCAGACTCCGGCAGCTCTGAAACAGACAACAGAAACGAGTTACCAATAAGTTTTGTTCCGTTTTCTTGGAAAAATACGATTTTGTTGATGTTTAGCACTTTGAGAACATTAAAATGGTCTCAAAGCTAACAAATATGAATTGATAGCACTGGGAAAATCGGGACCAGAAAAATGTTCTACCACTTTCATGTTTCAGATTTATAATTTTCCAGAAAAAATATATGCCAAAAAAGCTGGCAACAAACTCACAAATGTCCGGGGATTTTAAAATACCTGTACCCATTTCGCAACACAGAGCTTCTGGTATCCATGGCTACAAACGGGTTTCACCTTGGTAACCAGTGTGTAATGACATGGATTCACTTAATCAACCACAAAACCAAAGCCACTGACAGCTTCGCCTCTAGAAACCCATAATGGAAATGTGGGGGGGACCACTGATGGAGCAATATGTGGTCAAACATTGGCAGTGAGTCAAGCTACAAGGAATTATAGAGAATCTGTGATACTTTACATGATTTAATCTTGCCTCGCTGCACTAAACCCACTGCACTCTTAGTAAAAGAGTAACCACAAGACCTACCTTTAAAGCCATCTTCATCCACGATAATGGTGTAATCCTCCGGAGTTTCGGTTAAACTGAAGAACTTACATCTGGAAAGAAGCAAAGAGAGAAAGAGATGGAAATTATGAGCCAAGAAGGAGCAGAGTAATGAATTGAAGTTAATAACATATTCCTGAGAAGCTTCTATGAACATTAATTTACTCCGCCTCACAGAGATTACAGGCTGCATGCAGGTCTTTTGCTCAGGCTTAGGGATTTGAAAAATTAAACTTTGACGCATTATTGAATGGACAATTTTGTAAGTTTAGAGAGAGAGAGAGAGAGAGAGAGAGAGAGAGAGAGAGAGAGAGACACAAGCAAGAGGACATCTCGAAGGACCAGAAGAAATTCATAAAAATGAGACGCATAATTGAGAAAGTAATTTTGTAAGTGTAGAGAGAGAGAGAGAGAGAGAGAGAGAGAGAGAGAGAGAGAGAGAGAGACACAAGCAACAGGTCATATCGAAGGACCAGAAGAAATTCATAAAGAATTTAGACCGTAAGTTAAGTACCATTTTCAAGAAAAGTTTTAATGGGCCTGTCCACCCACAGTGTATCATTTTGCCTCTGGGGGAAAAGCAGGCGACTTGTTGACTCTGGATAGCAGCATCTTATCTGATACTGCCAAAGTGGTGCTGGGGAGGAAGGGGGATTTTTTTTTAAAGGTTTTTGCAAGCTGTCTGACATTTCTGGTGCTGTGTGATCATTTGAAATCACCTTCAGCCTAAAGGTGAAATGACATAGCATTGCAGTACAGAAAGATATCAAAAGTATGGTATTAAAGTACCATGAATTGTTTTATTATTTAAAGCAGGGATAGGAAAATAGGAAATGCTCAGATGCTGTGTAATAGACTGACTCACTTATTTTTCTATGATTGTTGACTCTGGATAGCAGCATCTTATCTGATACTGCCAAAGTGGTGCTGGGGAGGAAGGGGGATTTTTTTTAAAGGTTTTTGCAAGCTGTCTGACATTTCTGGTGCTGTGTGATCATTTGAAATCACCTTCAGCCTAAAGGTGAAATGACATAGCATTGCAGTACAGAAAGATATCTAAAGTATGGTATTAAAGTACCATGAATTGTTTTATTATTTAAAGCAGGGATAGGAAAATAGGAAATGCTCAGATGCTGTGTAATAGACTGACTCACTTATTTTTCTATGAAAAAATCCACCTTTGTGCAGCACTAAGAATTCATTCAGCTTTGAGCTGAATTTGAGTCACCGAGTGTGGAGAGAGATGTGATGGATCTACCCTAATTTGAGTCCTGAGATGAGCAAATAAATCAAAGCAATAATCATAGAGGCAGGTCTTATGCCCTTAAATCAGAACAACAAAACATCTCCATTGGAAATTTTCAACAGGCTATGACTCACTCGCTCAGAGCCTGTGCTCAGAAATGTGCTCCTAACAACCGTTCCTGAGGTCTCTGAGGACAAACACATTGAATCTTATTTTCAAACGCACAACCAAATAATTATTGATTCCAGCAGTTTATCTAAAAATGTTAGCCGCTTCCTTTTTATGGGAGAATGTGAAATTCAGGGGAATTTATAAGCCGTTCCCGTTTATCCGGTAATTTTGCTGGAAATAAAGACTGCTTACCTGAAGTCTAAAAACATCACACTACAACATCACCCAGTGAAAGCCACTGGAGCAGAAGAACAATTTTATTATTATTATAGACAACACAACTTGCGCATTTGGTTCACACCAAAATGAAACCCCCTCATGTTCAAAACTGTAAGACATTCTTTCTTCTGGGAAACACAAAAGATGATATTTTAAGAAGTTTAAGAAAAAAAAAAATTTTTTTTGGTTCATACAAAGCTTTTATTTACTTGTTTGTTGGTTGGTTTGTGAACTATCCTTTAAAATCAACATTCAAAGTGAAATGATTCGCATTTTACTCCTGTATCATTATGCATTTCTGAGTAAAATTAGAAGAATGTAGGCCCATACTTGATTTTATCCACTGGGAATTGATTGTATTGTGATATGATACAAACTAGAAGAGAGCCAGATGGTTGGAGGGGTTAAAAAACGTCTTGTTGACGTCAGCCGAAAAGGAGTTTCAGAGGTGGAGCAAGTTAATACTTCTTGATTTAGCATTACAAAGACATTTTGTCTTTGGAATAACGCGCACCACAGAATTCTGTACAAAAAGCCCAAATGCAACTATTAAGAGAGTAAATAGGCCCAGTTATTATTATCATTATTTGTTGTGATGACTGTAATGCTTAATACTAGGCTTACTGAACTTCCAACAGATCCACATCTGAAACACTGAAAAATTCTACTTTTAACAGGGTTTCTGTTTTGTTTTTTTAAAGGTAAATGTAAATATTTTATACCTTTTTAATCTAAAGACAACTTAAACAATAAATTGAAGGGAACATGCCAATATGTTCTGTGAATGTAAATGTGTAGAGACAATAAGTTTAGCAACACTTCAGTGTTTGAAAATACAACTTCCAATGGATCTCCAATACCTTTTACTTTAATCTGTAAATAATGTCCACCATACCTTCTGAAGTGATGCTCTTCCTTAGCAGTGTTGGGGGTGACGCATTTCAAGTAACTCAAGTTACGTAATCAGATTACTTTTTTCAAGTGACTAGTAAAGTAACGCATTACTTTTTAATTTACAAGAGAATATCTGAGTTACTTTTTCAAATAAGTAATGCCAGTTACTTTTTTTTTCAATTTATTGATTGACAGCTCTCCTGTCCCCATGTTGAGAGAAATCAGAAGATGTTACTGTAGTTCTAAAATAAATATGAATATGCATTAATTCATCTCACTCACAAAACACCCCCCACAGATTCAGTATTCCTCAAAATGAATAAAAATAATGCAACTCAGAATATGACGCAAACCTGCAATAATTAAGTGTTTAACAACACAAATATGCTTTATGTATTTAATCCCATTCTATTAACCAATGTCTTTGCCTCTGACCTTCGATGATCCAGTTCAACCATACTAATAAGCAAAAATTACTCTAGACAAACATTTGTGTGTCTTTGTTTATTGCTGAAGTGTGTTGAATTTTCTTCTTCTGCATTCTACTGTACAGATGTAAATGTACTTTCCCTTCAGCCTGAGGCTTAATCATTTCACTTTTAGTGTGAAAAGACTTTTATATTTGCCAAAAATATAACTTTTTTATTTTAAAAACAAACAAGCAAGCCCTGTCCAGATTGTAAAAAGTAACGCAAAAGTAACGTAACGCATTACTTTCCATAAAAAGTAACTAGGTAACGTAATTAGTTACTTTTTTATGGAGTAACGCAATATTGTAATGCATTACTTTTAAAAGTAACTTTCCCCAACACTGTTCCTTAGTAATTTTGTCTTGTTTTCCAGTGCAAATGTCTAAAGATATCTAAATCCAGATATATTGACAAGCAAAATGACTTGTTTTCTGGGAAATTGATTCAAATAAAGTCAGTTTATGATTAAAACAAGAACAAATATTATGAATGGGGCCAGAAAAATACTCTTAATTCAAAGGGAAAACAAGTTTTCATACCCCATTGACAGATATTTGTTCTTGTTTGAAGTATACACTCAATTTCATTACATTTCTCAGACAAGACAACAAGTAAACTTATTTTATTTAAGAAAGTTTAGACACACCCACTTTTATGTTTAATAAAGCACTAATATATTTAAATATATTTCGTTTTTTGTTTTGTTTCAATGGTGACACTGCATTTGGTTAACCGTGTTGTAGCGTCTCGACCAATCTGACACACTAATTTTTATTTGATTTAACAAATCAATTATTCATTAGATTAACAAGTCGTCACAGTCCCCTCACTCAATATACTGGATGCCAGGATTTCGGCTGAACACCATCCCCCACCTTGGTCACTATGACAACTAATCATGATATCACTGGTTTTATGGCCTAAAAGGAATGCAGGGGATAAACTCCCTCATTTTCCTCATAAGAAAGGCACAAATGCACAGGAGAAACTGACTTTTCTACTAATTAATTCATAGGAAAACCTTCTTTGAATGAACACCCATTTTCTTCAGGCCATTGTGTATATTATTGCGGTGTTGTATTTAATCTGTTGTATTATAGACTATTTTTATTCATGCTTACGATAAACCACTCATTCATATAAGTAACTATTTCATGTCTAGTATCTATGAATTTGCCTTCTTATGATCGAAACAAGCGTGTATATTATATGGTGGTACATAGGCAATATATATTAGGGCCCTGAGAATCGTTAATAATTTCGATTTAAGTCCATTTGCAAATTACCATGCTTAGAGAACAAAGGGGTCGTAAACCCTCCAGCAATTGCCACCTCCCGCTCGGAAATTCCATTTTGCTCATTGGACAAGCCCATCTTGAAAGGCGGAGATCTTCTCCGACCTTAAAGGCCCGGCTCCAGGGACCCGCCTCAGTCGGTGGTTCGGCCAGAAGCTAAGAAAATGTGAGGAAACGCTCCAGGATACCAAAGCTCGTGCCAGGCTCCGGCCTAGTCCTTTTCATTCATCAAGTGATTCTGACTCAAACTAGCTTTTTCTCATCAACCAACTTCAGCAAGATCTTGGGGCCTTAAGATTGCATCAGGAATCTTTTTCAGACATACGCAAGTATCAAACTTAGTCGATTTCATTGATGCATTAAGTATCAGTTACACCTTTTTACAAGGTTTGTTTGAACTAAGAATCTGACGTTTTCCCTCAGGTTTTAGATCTGCTGAATATGCAAAATGGTTCCATAAATGTCATTCCTTATGTCTCTTTCTTTAGTGCTAAACTTTAACCCTTTCCTATACCAACTGTATGTGTGTGTGTGTGTGCGTATGTGTATGTTGGACCGGCTTAATGTGTTTATGTAGTATGTTAGACTAGTTTAAATGTTTATGTAGTTAATAAAACCTTACTTGTATCACACTTGACGTGTTCATTGTTTACTCATAACCGGAGTCAATAATCATGTAGATTTACGTTACAAGCTTATAGAATTGTACAGTAAGAAAGTTATTTCCCTTAACCAGGAAATTAACGTCTTAGAATTGACAAGACAGTTGACCCTGAGTGGTCAGCTAAATATCTACAGTGGATCTAAAATATGAATAGTTAATTATAACTAGTTATGGTTAATTATTCATATTTCCCCATGAGCTGATTCGCTACAGTGTTGTTTCATTGTATCTTACTGAGTAAACAAAATCTCCTTGCTGGACAAAGAGTGAAACCCAAGGGCTGGTAACAATGTTTCAAACTGTAAGCAACTATTTCCAGAGCTTCCCTTGTTTTGTGCGCATTCTGCATCACTCTGAGACACTTCACAAACAGCCACTAAATAAGTTTATTCAAGCTGTGCCTCTGCAACAGAAAAACAAGTGTATCCCCCTATCCCCTAGCTGCATAAAAGTGTTTGCCAAGTAAGAAACAATTCAAAGATTCAAAATCAGACAAGAAGCCATATCAAAAATGCTATTTCTACATGAAATTGCATTTGGATCAAAAAAAGAAAAAAAGCTCTTAAAATGGATTTCATGGCCTGCTGGGCAAGACATACAGCACTGAATACAATAGAAAACCCTGAAGCAATGCTGTTCACAGCCAGATACAAACCACCAAGAGGAATATGTCACTCCAAACACAACCTGGATGTTCAAAACAGCCCAGCTGCAAAGCTTTTTACTGCGATAAATCTACAATTCGCAAATTAATAACCCTGCATTTGTAGGCAGACCTTGAATGTTTTTGCGGAGACGTTACTTTGCGATTTTCAGTATTTTTCCTTTCGATCGGAGGCGATGTCATCATTGCTGTTCCAGGCTCTGAGTCATGACAAAACATCTTTGCTCTCTAAAGAAGAGCTTCATATTCAAACATGTGCAACTTGCCGTCGACTGATGTTTTTTTTTAATTGTCAAAGCCAGTATCTATCACACTTAGGCTACTTGTTTGATATTTGCTTAACTGGAGTCTCTTGAATGCAGCAAGACCTTTTCAAACCAATATGCAAAACATCACAGCCATTACAAGCATAGAACCAATAAAGCATTCTGAACGGTCCAAGAAAATTAGATTTATGAAACGCAAGAGCAAGTAAACATGCAAAATAAAAGGGGCCTGATGGGAACTAGGCCCCTGATTTAAACCACTGAATTTTTTTAAATAAAGACACTAAAGCAGACATGCAACCTAATAGCCACTTTAACTCTAGCTAGAGGCCTGTGTGTGTGTGTGTCCAGTCCACAGCCTAAATGACCGAGCAGGATGTTTCTCCCTGAGGTTCAGACTCCGGAGCCGGACTGGAGGAGATGTGCTCACACACTCTGCTTACACAAACACAGCAAGGGGGCATTTGAGACTCTATGAATAGATGGTCTTTCACAAAGGTGAATCATCTGAAGGTGTATCAGTATGAGGGAATAAACAACTGCAGAACGTTACCAGCAGCAATGAATGTGCATTACCAAACACAAAAGGTGGTAAAAGCACATTTCTGTTCACAGGCAGTGAGCCTATGCAGCAAATGCATGCAAATCATGTTCAGGCCACAACTTTTCCCCTCCTCTTCCAGTTGTTTACAGGTTTTTTTTTTTTTTTTTTTTAGAGTTTAGCTCAAACGGATCTCTGTCAAACTGATCAAAACGGGTCAGTTTTTCATTAAAGCGCCGAAAGGATAAGCTTCACATCAAGTCATCAGGATGCCCCCTTCATCTGTATCAAAGCCGTGATGCTGAATACCTGCTCGTGCATTGAGCAGCATCACAGACGGGGGGATTTAAAGCAACATCCACCTCCGTATCTTTATACCGCCGCACAAGAAGAAAAACAACCCCGAGCACGTACACACACCCCTCTACCGTCGAACCAACTTCAGCAGCAACCGCACACACAACCATTACCGCGAAACAAAACACCCATGACCGCTTGCTTGATGATGTCATGCGCCTCTTGCATGGAGCCAATAAACATTTGGATTAAAATCATAAAGAAGCGCTGGAACTGCCTTTACCTCTCATAAGAGGTGCGTAGCGGTAAGCTATTAGCTCAAACGGATCTCTGTCAAACTGATCAAAACGGGTCAGTTTTTCATTAAAGCGCCGAAAGGATAAGCTTCACATCAAGTCATCAGGATGCCCCCTTCATCTGTATCAAAGCCGTGATGCTGAATACCTGCTCGTGCATTGAGCAGCATCACAGACGGGGGGATTTAAAGCAACATCCACCTCCGTATCTTTATACCGCCGCACAAGAAGAAAAACAACCCCGAGCACATTCACACACCCCTCTACCGTCGAATGAACTCCAGCAACAGCACAGCCCATCATTACCGCTAAACACACATGACTTGTTGATGCCATGCGCCTGGCAGATGGAGCAGATAGAAATGTGGATGAAAAGTGCTGAAACTGCCTCTCATAAGAGGTGCGTAGCGGTAAGCTAATGTAATTCCGCGGCAGATTCTTCAAGAAGACATTTAACGGACAGTCATTACAGGCGTAACACAACGCAGACTTGATTCGTGAAGCTGCTTACCTTGTTTTAGAGGGCAGAAAAGCTAGTTTGATTAATCCGTGAGTGCAAATCTGGATGCCCTCTTTCGCTATACTTGCTACTTTTAAACTGTGCTCTAAAATGTGCAGCTCCATCTTCTGCGTCTTCTCATTTGTGGTACATCTAAAAAAATATAACTGCCTATTCCGTTTTGATAAAACAAGAAAGAATAAATAAATAAATAAATAACTAGAGCTTATGGACAGGGCTTTAAAACCTTCAAACGGAGCGGAAAGGAGGGGAGAGAAAAGGAAAAGTTGTCTGCCGAGGAAAAGAGAGAAAGAGAGTAAAGCGGGGTGAAATAAAAGAAAGCACAACGAGGTAAACGGGAAGGGAGAAAAAAAGAGGACTGTCGGCCCCCGTGTTTCCACTCCGACAAGGATTCTAATGGGCCAGCAGCTGGTAACAGTGAAACAAACAACCTGTCACTCAAAAAAGAGGGCGGGACGAATTGTACGTGAAGTGCATGTTGGGAAATGTAGTTCAGCTTTACAAAGTTAATCGATTAAAAATGTAGTCATATTTGCGTAAGATATGCCATGCATTTATTTATTTAAATATAAAATCAATTACAAACTCAAAAAATGTGACAATTTCAGCAGTGTCTTTATTTAACTAAAATTAGCAAATAGTTTCTTTAACAGAGGGGCATTGACAATTGTCTTAAAAATGTGCTGGACATTGAACTTGTTTTATATTTTGGCCATGGCCACCGCTGACATTTACAGGACAAAACTGTTATTGATGGGCATCCTCTCCCCAAGACCAATGAGTGGGTTATTTGAAAGATCAGTGGATCCCAACCCTGGTCCTGGAGGCAACCCAACACTGCTCATTATGCATATCTCCTTTCTCTGACAGACCAATTTCAGGTCTTGGGAACAGGGGTGCCCAAACTCGGTCCTGGAGTCTTGCTCCAACCCCAATCAGACACACCTGAACCAACTAATCAAGCTCTTACTAGACATACTAGAAACATTGGAGCAGGTGTGTTGAGGCAAGTTGGATCTAAACTCTGCAAGACACTTGCCCTCCAGGACTGAGTTTGGGCACCCCTGTCTTGGAGTCTCTACTAATGAGCTGATGACCTGAATCAGGTGTGTTTGATTAAGGAGACATGCAAAACGTGCAGTGTTGGGGTGCCTCCAGGACTAGAGTTGGGAACCACTGCCTTATACCTCCTTCATCACACGGCCAGGGGACAATGTTCATTTGATATACATTGATAATTTTACCCACCACACAGAAAATGTAGAGATTTAAGATTTTTTTCTTAAGTTTTATTAAAGTAGCATTTTAGCATTAAAATGCCTGCCTTAAAATTGTTGTTTGCTAGACTAAAGGGGACCTAGTTTAGCCACTAAAATACTAGTTTATAAAAGTATGTGACCTTTTCTTGAGCCTAAACATCTTGCTAATCATTCACGGTGTAAAAGATGTGATGGGGGATTCAATCAATATCAATCTGTCCTGTCTTTATCTAAACCATAAAAAAAGTGGAACTTTTTCTTTCAAGATTTAAGATAAGTGGAATGAAACCAGATGTTGGAATTTTATTACATTTAATATTTAAATGTAAATCATTTGTACATGTAAATAACCATCATGACACCCATTAATTGACCAAGTCCTGGCCCAGAGTGCATCGTCTTATACAAGGCAGAAGTTTAATAATTCACAAGTGCTGTCTATTGGTAACCAGGGACGGTGCTGCAGAGCGTCATAAAACAACAAGCATTCTTTGTGTGCAGCTGTGATAAGATCCCTGGGACACTGATCTCTCACAGGGACAGGCATTGTTCAGTTCAAAAGGACATCGCTCCTCTTTAGACACTATTCCTTTCAGCATTACCACTCAAAACACTGACTTTTTTTTATGTACCTTTTTTTTAGGTATGCCTGTATTTAATGGTTTTTAAATATGACGTGACGTACTCATACCCGGAATTAGTGCTCTGCATTTATCCTATCCAAAGTGCACACACACCCCCCACCTACAATCCCTGCCTGTACGAGGCTTGAACCCGCAACCTTTGGGTTATGAGTCCGACTCTCTATGGCCTGAACAATTTAGCTTTCCTAACCAGACAATTTATGAACAAATGCTCAGCTGAAAACTACACCAAGACTTTCCCCAAAGAGCAAACACGGCAATAGAACATTCAAGCACTCACAAATAAAGGCTTAGTTACACACTCAAAGGCAGCTTGTCAAAGCAAAAGTGGAGCACTAAAAGCTGCGTTCTGCAGAGAGAATCCTTTAATCTGAACCCCATGACCCACATGAAGTCCTGAGAACCAATCTCCTGCTGGCATGACACTGGATATGTGGCTTGGAGACTGCAAATCTTAATGTTATCCTCTCTAAGGTGAGCTCTAATAATGAGAAAACTGTAGTTTAAATGCTATATATTCTCAAAAAAAAAAAAAAAACCCTGTACACTCATGTTGGAGATATTTGGGATTTTACATTGGTTCTTCACCCTTTTTGAAAAACAAAAACCCTTCAACCACACAGATCTTTCATACTTAATTTATTGAAAGCTACACCACAAAACACCCCAAAGCAAAAGCTTTTCAGATTTCCTGTGAAGTACGATCTCTTCATGACCACCAACTGTTAAAGACAAAAGCAAATTGTATTCATATTGAAAGTGCTAATACAATGTCATTGATACCGCTTTAAGTGAATCAGGTGTTGCCCTGAAGACAAACAGTTTATTTAGCAAAAAACCTCATAGGGCACTGATGTAGGATCACAGCGTTAAGGGTCGCCAGTAAAAAAAAGAATTGGCTGACCCCCTTTGAAAGTGACCCAAAGATGTGGAACAACTCACCTTCCAATAAAAGTCTGGCTGGGAAACCCTTCACTCCAACGCCAAACCTGTAACAGCATAAACAATTAAACACATACAACCTCCCATTTTGAGTTTAAGTGCATTTAAAAAGAAATGTTCCTAATAAATCCCAACAGAAATACAACTGAAGTGACTCATTAGAATGGGTTTTAATTTTTGGTCATGTCCACAGCAAGTCAGGAACCATGTATCCTAAAAGCCTTGGTATATGACCAAATTTATCACGTACATGCAACTGGGAAACGTTCAAGAACAGATGCCTTACTTTTCATCTTGCAGTACTGCAAGTACGATCAGCTGCCAGCATTCATTCTTCAATCTAGTCATATGGGACCTGTGGGCACAACACGAACACGTCAGGATTATCAAGACACACCGAGCTATTGAAACAATGTCACAAGGCTTCTAAAAGGAGAAAGTCGCAGCGTGTCGTTATCCTCCCCGGAGAGCGTCTTGGATGACTGCGGGGGGTTGTAAAGGGTTGGGGCATGTGGGAGAATGGAAAGCACACCAGTGACGGACCCATTCCACACTAGAGAGGCTGTGCAGGAAAGTTTACATCAAAAACAGCTTGGCTCCCAGCTTGGGCTGCTTGATTAACTGAAGTAAAACCTAATTATCAGACACTACAAATACTGTAGTCCAACCATCTTTACATACTAACAAAAAGCACTTCTAAACTCTGGAAGAGGCCTTGTCTCGACCACCGCCAGGACCCAACAACAAACATAAGGTCCAATAAGAGCAGGGGGTCGAGGTTCTCTAGCACTGGCATTTGAACATTCCAGTCAGACATACAACTGGATGCAGATACCAACAGTGCTGACTCATGTCATTTCTAATAAGCCATTTTAACACTACAAACCTCTAACACACCGCCAATCACCAAAAAGGGGTGTTGCGCCTTCTAGTGGACATCCTTCAGATCACACCTACAGAGTGGAAATTTACACAAGTGAGATGTTTGCGCTTTGCTATGCCTTACAAATTAAGGTAAATCCTTTAAGCTCATTGAATGTACTGCAGAATTTTCCCACAAAGCTAATGACATTAGCGACATGGGTAAAGCGATACTGCAGACTTTATCTCCGAGGCATTTCCAACGACTACGCTCTACTGAGAGGGGCAAGTCGGGATAGACCTCACTTTAACAAATCCGTTTTCCAAAATGCATTATCATCAAATGGAAAAAATTATAAAAGTAACATTTACCATTAGAACAAGCTACCTCATCTCAGGATCTGGGAATGCAATGTGTAGCAACCAACTTTTCAATACTTATGAGAAGTGCTTATAGACTGGCTGCATTTATATAGAAAATAAAAAATAAGGGCCTTGTCTCGACCACCACCAGGACCCAACAACAAACATATAAGGTCCAATAAGAGCGGGTGTCAAGGTTCTCTAGCACTGGCAAATGAACACTTCAGTCAGACATACAACTGGATGCAGATACCAACAGTGCTGACTAATGTTATTTCTAATAAACCACTTTAACATTACAAACCTCCAAATCACCAATCACAAGGTGTTGCGCCTTCTAGTGGACATCCTTCAGATCACACCTACAGAGTGGAAATTTACACAAGTGAGATGTTTGCGCTTTGCTATGCCTTACAAATTAAGGTAAATCCTTTAAGCTCATTGAATGTACTGCAGAATTTTCCCACAAAGCTAATGACATTAGCGACATGGGTAAAGCGATACTGCAGACTTTATCTCCGAGGCATTTCCAACGACTACGCTCTACTGAGAGGGGCAAGTCGGGATAGACCTCACTTTAACAAATCCGTTTTCCAAAATGCATTATCATCAAATGGAAAAAATTATAAAAGTAACATTTACCATTAGAACAAGCTTCCTCAGGCACAAATTATGCATTAACTCACAGGATTATTCACCCACATTGTGTTCTGGAGCCTGAAAGTAGAAGGAAACATTAGAAAAGAACATGTCTACACTTAAGCATAATGAAAGGGAGTTTGAGTGTTCAGAATGGCACATACTCTTTCATGGTTAATAAGAGCAGTTGAACATTAATGCCAATCATCATTACAAAACTCTAATTCATCATTATCCCAATAAATTCTTACCTGATTGCCCAGTCAGTTCACAGGAGGACCATTAATGTCATCCGAAACCTGAAAGCACACACACACACATCTTATTTGAAACAACACGTAAACGATAACAACATGCACTATTTTCTGTGGTAAAATGTCTCTTCTCAATAGTAGCACTGTTATTTGGTGGCCACAACAGTGAGTTGCAAGAGAAGGGAATTGTAATTTTTGCACTGCACTAGTTCCTAAGCCCATTTTGACTAGACCGTGACTAGTACTGTGCACTTACTTTCGAAAAACCAATCCAAACCACTTACCATACTGCATATGTTGGTTACTACACACTTCAAACACCATGGAGATGCCTCAGAATCTCCTGTTGGGAGAAATAAAAGAACATTAGTCTTCATATCGCCTCGAAGTACAGCAGCAGAGACACGTTGGGAATATACCAGGCCTCATTGTAATCACTGCAACGATTCTACAATGATGAAAGCAAACCTGCTGTTGTTCTAGCCAAGCCGATAGAGGAATTTGCCCCATTTCAGAAATAACGCTATTGATGATCTGCTTAGCAATCTACGAGATCCGATAAATCTTTAAACGCGTGTCCCCCACAAAGTCCAAATCACCCACAATGGATCAATACAGTGGAAGAGAATTAGTGCACTTAACTACAAAAGTAATCTGAAAAAAGAACTTTTTAGTTCAGTAGCTTTCTCTATGCACACGAGTCTGCAGGAGCATTCACCACGTGGTGTAGGCTACTACTCGCTAGAACGTATTAGAAAGTCTTTGCATTAAACCTATTTAATGTTATCACAAACAAACTTAAGAGAACACAACCTAGATAGCTGAAATGGTGAAATAACAGACACAGACATGTAAAACAAACAAGTACCTAGTTTTAAGCCAGCCTTCTTCACGAACACTTGCAGGCGGGTTGAAGCTGAGAAGGACACAGGAAGAAAAGCGTCACGTTTTATATCTGACTTTACGACATTTTACGGCTCTGCGCTCTCCTCTGCGTTTCTGTGGTAACGTTAAGCAATCAAAACCGACAAATCTCTTTATATTACACTGGACCAGAGTTTCTCAACGGCTCTGCACTGGACTAAAGCTTGAAGTATTCAAGAAAAAAAAAAAGCATTTTAAATAATACAGTAAACGATGTTACATTTATATGGTATATTTTCAGCTAAAAGTGTGTTGAGAGATTTAATTTATAAATTGATTATTCCTGTTTAGCAGAAAAATAATCCGTTGTCCATCTTTTTTTTGTAATTGTATACACAAAGATGAAATAAAAAGCAATTAAAACTATTCAGTTGCTTGTTCGTTGATATAATAATAATAATAATAATAATAATAAATGTAAGAAAAGTTCAACAAATGCGAGACACGTGACCTCACACTCACTAATTTTCGCGCCAGTGTATTCACGCAAGTACGCTTGACCTTTACTACTAACCTGTGTGACTGGCATATTATTCTGTCATTATGGGGGTTTGTATGTCAAGAAAAGAGATCCCTAATGAAATTTATAGATATTGGTCTGCTGTAGCATCTTCTCTTCGCCTCGGCTGGCTTGGGACGAATAACGTGAGGACGGTTAGTGCTACTAACTTAGTTAAGTTAGTTAAAGCGAAGTAAAGATTAGAGTAACGTTCAGTTGTTTATTATTGAACAAACGAGCTAGCTAGTATGCTGAATGTAATAATTAAGTTGGTGGCAAGTCAGAGTTAATATGACTAGGTGCGTGGTGATATAATTAAACAAACAATTAGTAAAATAAAATCTTCACTGTGTCATCAAGTAACTGGCTAAGTTACCATTTTCAAATTGCTTTATTTTATTCAGGAGATGAAAGCGTGCCAACTTGCTCTTTTCCCTAATCTGTTGAACTCCTCAGCTGTAGAAGAAGATATACTTGGCCTGGAGGAACATCTACGAGAGGTACTGAATCTATGTCTGTAGAAATATCAACATGATTGCTTGTTTCCTGTCATGTCTGTAACTTACTGGTCTGATGTGCAGCAGAGTTTTGATATTTGCTTTAAGGTAGCTCTGGTATGTCACTTTATTGTCACTTCCATTTTAACCAGATCTGCACCTCTAGTTTGCAGTTAGTGCATTCTCAGTGGTCTCTTGAGTATGTCATTACATACTACACATAGGAAAAATTAAATCTGTTTGATTCCTTATTTATATCAGTAGTGTAGAGGGAGATTGCAAAGAGCCTTAAGTGAGATATTAAGAGCCTAAAATAAGATATTAAATGGTTAGGTAGTCTAGGTCTAACCTGCATAATACAAATGTCAGCCTGGAATGCAAGTTAAAGGACTAGACAAATGCTTTATGTTTTATAGCTTCACCTGACCTGGTTTTAGAAACGTTTTAGGAATATAGGATCAGGCCGGAGATGGTTTGACCACCTCATGCAACCTCACAAGATTTTGCATGTTAAAAAGCTAATTCTGTATTTGTTTTAAACATTAATTGGTGTTATCAAAATGTATTTGATATATAGAGTCCAGTTTATGATTACATAACATTGCAATTAATCGCATCCAAAATAAAAGTTTTACATAACATATGTGTGTGCTGTGTATATTTACATGTGTATATAAATACATACACATACATGTGTATATATATATCTGTTGTTCAGATATTGACCAATGTTTATTTTTAATATTGTTATCAGTGTAAAAGTCTGGAAATAAAAATAACATCAAAAAAGTGTGGACTTAAAGGGTACATACACCATAAATATATATTTGTGGATTTTTCTTATGACAGGGTGCTGATGTCTCAAGTGGTGATGAGCGCGGTCGGACGCCTCTTCATGTGGCAGCAGGAGAAGGCCATTTAAATGCTGTTCGCTTCTTGCTGCAGCAGGGAGCAGATGTGAATGCCACTGACTGTTATGAAGAAACTCCACTTCGAGATGCCATACGCTGCAAGTACTTATCACATTTGTGTGCTTTACTGGATGTACATTGCATAACAAGGTCAGAAATTAACTTATCCATTTAAGGGGGAATATTTGCCCCCTGGAATTGATTTCAATGGGCATTTTTTGCCTTTGTATGGGCAGTTTTTATAATTACCTTATTGTTTCTGTGTTGATTTTATGTTAGTTAAATGTAATCATTTACTTAAATATATTAGAATAATATACCAAAACAAAAGCCATCTTTTAACTGCAAAGGTAGAACAGAAACCACATCTGACATGGCATTTATGTTTATTTACACAGACTGTTTAATGTTGCTCAGATATGGCTTACATGTATTTTCACTACAAATGCATAATATACAGTAAATAGACTACATAAAGGATATAAAATACATAAAAAAACAGGAGCTCCTTACATGGTAGGGCTGCAATTTTATGGCTAAATTTTTGTTGTTGATTATTGCTCTTGATATTGTAAGAATGATTATTAATGTTGATTAATAGATTACATACAAAACATGTTTTTTTGTTTGGGGAAACAGCCCATCATACTCTGGCTATACAGTTAAGAAGCACTTATAAACATTTATTGCTTTTTTTGCATTAGAAAATCAAGACTACATATTACTTATTTTAGTTGCTTGAAAAACAAAACAGCTATTTAAACGGGGAGTAAATTAAAAACAGAAAGCAAGCATAAAACACTGAAGCACTTTGCATCTAACGCAAATTATGCACACTTGAAAAAACTCCTTTTCTAATCATTGAAGCTGTCTACACTGTGCAAAGAATTTCTTACATTGAATTTGCACTCATGGTTTATAATGAAAGAATTTATGAGAGTGCAGAATTCAGTCAGTGATTTGCCACTGCATTCATAAGTTCAACAGAAATATGTGTGATTGGTTAAAATGCTGCCAAAAAAAACACATAAAAAGAAATGTGATGCAATGTGAACAGATCTAGATTAAGTGGTGCTCTGACTGATCGGCTACTGATCACTATCGGCATAATCACATTGGGATGTTTGATCGGTGGTCTCTAAAAAGGCAGATCTCAAAAGACCGATCTCAAGCTGATGACACTGCCGTGAGAGGTTTGGCACGACATGCAGCAGCACTGTCTCAGTCTCTGTCCGGTGCGGGTGAAATGACTATAATGCTGAAGGTGAGGTACTCACCTTCATATTTCTTTATTAAATAACTTATAAAGTAATTTGAAAACCTTGTGTGAGACGTAATTTCACAAACAGCGTAAGTGAATCACCGCTCACGCGCTCTCTTTCTCTCTCAAAATACGCAAATGGCTTCAAATCACCACACATCGCATCTGTCTATAAGTGAGCTGCACGCTGCACAGTTGACACAGGAATTGTCACTTGTACAATCGAGGCAGTGTCACTTTGTCACTAAAGTTCATAAATTGCATTACTTTTTAATTCTTGCCAGTGTTTAACCATTCAGCGCTCACGTGCTGTCCTGCAGACCGTGCGCTGTCCTGCAGAATATTTGCCCCCTGGAATTGATTTCAATGGGCATTTTTTGCCTTTGTATGGGCAGTTTTTATAATTACCTTATTGTTTCTGTGTTGATTTTATGTTAGTTAAATGTAATCATTTACTTAAATATATTAGAATAATATACCAAAACAAAAGCCATCTTTTAACTGCAAAGGTAGAACAGAAACCACATCTGACATGGCATTTATGTTTATTTACACAGACTGTTTAATGTTGCTCAGATATGGCTTACATGTATTTTCACTACAAATGCATAATATACAGTAAATAGACTACATAAAGGATATAAAATACATAAAAAAACAGGAGCTCCTTACATGGTAGGGCTGCAATTTTATGGCTAAATTTTTGTTGTTGATTATTGCTCTTGATATTGTAAGAATGATTATTAATGTTGATTAATAGATTACATACAAAACATGTTTTTTTGTTTGGGGAAACAGCCCATCATACTCTGGCTATACAGTTAAGAAGCACTTATAAACATTTATTGCTTTTTTTGCATTAGAAAATCAAGACTACATATTACTTATTTTGAAAAACAAAAAAACAAAACAGCTATTTAAACGGGGAGTAAATTAAAAACAGAAAGCAAGCATAAAACACTGAAGCACTAACGCAAATTCGCAAATTATGCACACTTGAAAAAACTCCTTTTCTAATCATTGAAGCTGTCTACACTGTGCAAAGAATTTCTTACATTGAATTTGCACTCATGGTTTATAATGAAAGAATTTATGAGAGTGCAGAATTCAGTCAGTGATTTGCCACTGCATTCATAAGTTCAACAGAAATATGTGTGATTGGTTAAAATGCTGCCAAAAAAAACACATAAAAAGAAATGTGATGCAATGTGAACAGATCTAGATTAAGTGGTGCTCTGACTGATCGGCTACTGATCACTATCGGCATAATCACATTGGGATGTTTGATCGGTGGTCTCTAAAAAGGCAGATCTCAAAAGACCGATCTCAAGCTGATGACACTGCCGTGAGAGGTTTGGCACGACATGCAGCAGCACTGTCTCAGTCTCTGTCCGGTGCGGGTGAAATGACTATAATGCTGAAGGTGAGGTACTCACCTTCATATTTCTTTATTAAATAACTTATAAAGTAATTTGAAAACCTTGTGTGAGACGTAATTTCACAAACAGCGTAAGTGAATCACCGCTCACGCGCTCTCTTTCTCTCTCAAAATACGCAAATGGCTTCAAATCACCACACATCGCATCTGTCTATAAGTGAGCTGCACGCTGCACAGTTGACACAGGAATTGTCACTTGTACAATCGAGGCAGTGTCACTTTGTCACTAAAGTTCATAAATTGCATTACTTTTTAATTCTTGCCAGTGTTTAACCATTCAGCGCTCACGTGCTGTCCTGCAGACCGTGCGCTGTCCTGCAGACCGTAGCAGCACACACGCACAGGTTCACATTACTCTGTTTGAAGTGCGTATGTGGTGTGTATTTTTCCGCGCTCATGTTAACGGATTAATAAAGCGTGCACACTGCACACGGTTGCGGTCCGGCAGTGCGTTCCAGGAGCGGTGCGTCTGCAGCAGTGCAGAGATCGTTTTCACACCGATTGGATTGACACGAAAATTTAGTAATTACACCATAAATGCATATTATTAAAGTCTACTGTGTTTCACAATCAACACGTCTTTTTGGCTAGGTTTAAAGGAAAAGAGCACTTTTAGATCAACAAGGCAATAATAGATGGCACTCGTGGAGGTAGGAAAACAAAGTTCTTTATAAACGGCAGGATTGCTTGTAATAAATGTTTAAATGCAAAAGAAAAGGCAGGAGAGCTGACTGTTTCTGTCAATGGTAAGTTTGTGATAACGTAAGAAAAGCAGTTTAAATGTTTTGACACTTGCTTGAGCAACTTAATATATAAATCTATAAGTAAATGCAAAAGTAAAAAGCATTGAATAATGTGTTGCTTATTTATTGTGTTTAAACATGTCTGTGAAAGATTGTATTACTGTACTGTGTAAAAGAAAAGATTTGCAATGCGGAAAAAGCATTTTCAGTGACAGTGTTTGGATTGAAATCAAACTAATGGATAAATGTTGTGTTTGTGGTAAACAGCCACGGATCAGTAGCGGACACCTGTGTGAAAGCTGCTTCCCCTCTCACAAGAGTCACCTAAGAGGGGAATTCCCCCCATTTTCAAAAATGAAATTCAGGCCCTGAATAAATGTCTAAAAATCCTGATTGGACTATCACTATAACTGGTTATAAATGATAAAAAGAAGACTTTAAAAAGATCGGTATCGGTGATCGGATCGGCAGATACTGCTTGCTGTGATCGGTGATCGGCCTCAAAAACTCTGATCGGAGCACCCCTAATCTAGATGTAATGCCACAGTCACCACTTTTCACATTTCACTTCAATCGCAACAGAAATTGTGCAGGGTTATATTTTTGCCCCAATCTCCTGTTAATTTCCAACCCTGTTGCATGCCCACGTTTACTGATGAACCTTTTAAATCACTAGGAGTTTGGAGGTGGTGGAGCTGTTAATTTCTGCAGGGGCACGTTTGGAAAAATTCTCAGAGGAACTTGGGGTTGAGATGTGCTGGTGAGTGGGATTATGTTTTTATACAGAAGTTAATTTCACAAAAGAGGGCACTTGATAAAAGGTGTTAGTCTGATGAACATGTTAACCTTAATAGCAATAATTGTAGTCTTCTCAATATGGATTGTGCTTTTCAGTCTTGCATTCCTTGGAGACACAGAACAGATGGGGGCGTGGAAGAAGGCTGGAGTCAGTTTTAATGTTTCTGATGCTCATGGTCGAACTCCCTTACATGTGGTGAGGTTTTCTCAGAGATGTTAAGTAAATGTTGTTCCTATGATAAGCATCTAAGCCTGGCTCATCTTTCTTCATTTGCTTAAATAGGCGGTGTGTACCGATCAACCTGAAATGGTAAAGTTCTGTATCCGCAATGGATCCGATCTTGAGGTATGGACACAAAGAGTTTAAAACACAGTGGTTAATCTCTCAAAAGTTTGGACACATAAATTTTTTGGCCAATATTTTAGAATAATATCAAGTTATCAAAACACTTAATATGCATGCTAGGTTTTCTATTAGTCTTAAGGCAGTTCCCATATGCTAGGCACTGTTGACTGCTTTTCTGTCACTCTTCTTTTCAACTCGTCCAATTCAAAAATTGTAAATTCAGTTCTAACTTTTTGTTGGAAAAGTCATACTGTATGTATTCACAATTTATATTGTCTACAAAGAAATATCAGAAGGTTTTAAAGGGCACCTATTATGCCCCTTTTTACAAGATGTAATATTGGTCTTGGGTGTCCCCAGAATGTGAAGTTTCAGCCCAAAATACCCAACCGGTCATTTATTATAACAGCTGGAAAATTTCATTTTTGGGGTGTGTCTACAAAAGAGCTGTTTTGGAGTGTATCGCTTTAAATGCAAAAGAGCTGCATATTCCCACCCCGTTTCCAGAAGAGGGTGTCGCGTATACGTCTCTCTGCATTGCATATCTACAGTACAGCAATAAACAGTCAGTAGAAGCAACATAACTGAGGGCGAGAGAACCAGTGTTTAGCTGTACATATGGGAAGCCAAATGTACTGAAAGTGGGACGAAATAGAGCTCGCGCCGCGCAGACCTGTCATCGGTGCGGATCAATGGACCGAGCCGTGCGACCGAACAAATCTCGTGCTACAAACTGTGCCAACTAATCTATGGAGCCCCGCACATGACATGCAAGAAAAAATAAATAAATCGTGCACATGATTTACTAATTCATTCCCTTGATGTACTGAAATGTGCACACGATTACTATTTCGTTCCCTCGATTTGCTAATTCGTTCTCTCGATTTATAAATTTAGCAAATCGAGGGAACGAAATAGCAAATCGTGCACACGATTTAGCCTATTTTTTTCCTGCATGCCATGTGTGGAGCTAATCTCACAATTACTTTATTCTCACAAGCACGTCGCTGATCAGTTAAAAAATACTTAATGTACGCACACAAATACGGTTAAAATGCTAAGCACTATAACAACTAGAGGTCGACCGATAAATCGGCTGATTTTTGGCATTTTTTAAAATTACTGGCCGATTTTGCTGCAAATTAGGCCGATTTATAGGCAGCTAAGCGTTGCGGAACACCAGAGAATCTCTCTGGCTGCGTGAGAGAGACGGAGCAACTCGCACTCTGCAGCCGCTTCTTGTTCACACACAGCTTCAGCTAATGATGGCAGGGCAAAACAGACCGTTTCGAAAGCGTAATTACATTTACCCTACTAGAATTGATGCTGGAAAATGATCATATTCATAAGTGCAACAAGTCATTTGAATGTGAAGGTAGAAACATGCAATTCAGATGAAACTTCTGGGCTGATTATAACGTGCACGTTAACTTTCCTCATGAAATGTGTGTGTAGGTCCGACGTGGCCAGTGCACTCGCGGTTATGAGCAGTGGGCTGTGTAATATGTGTGAACTCTTTTATTTTTGTTATCACTTGGCCATTTGACTTATAGCAGTGTCCAGTGTTTCCCATACATTGAGTAATT